TTATTGGCACATCACAAGACCAAAAGTAAAATCATAGAAAACTTTATTACAATATATGAATAAAACATACAAAATACATTGATAAAAAGGAATACCAAAACGGTGTGACATGTGTAATTGTGTAGCGTAAAAATACTCCAAAAGGATTAGAGCATAACACATGTATACACCCAACATTTTATTTGGTTCTGGCCAGCTCAGTGGATTGCTTTAAAAAAGGTCTGGATTCTTTTTTAGATACACAGAATATAACTGAATAAGAACATTTATAGGTAACGTTGATCCAGGGAATATCTGATTGCCTCTTGGGGGATCAGGAAGGAATTTTTTTTCCCTGCAGGAGCAAATTGAATCATGCTTTGCTGGGTTTTTTTTTATTGCCTTCCTTTGGACCAACTGTGGGTATAGGATTATAACTTTTTTTTTTTTTTTTTTTTTTTTTAAATGGTTGAACTGGATGGACTTTTGTCTTTTTTCAGCCAGACTATGTAAAAAAAAAAAAAAAATATATATATATATATATATATATATAATATAATATGTAAAACTAAATTACTAAGCAATATGAGTAGCGGTATTCCCAAGTCTGGCTCGGGGTAAAATGCAGCTGTCAATAGCGGTAACCCCAAGCCAGACTCAGGCTGACCGCAATATTATTACCTGGTGCCGATCTGTGTCCCTGCTCCTGTGGTGCCAGCAGCCATCCCCTCCGTTTGTCCCCAGTCTCCTTCCCCGCATCCCTGTGCCTCTCGTTCCCGTCTATCTCACGCTGATCAGTGTGAGTCTGCCGTGCCGTCGGGGGGCGGGGCTTGCGGGAGGCGGGAAGTATAAAAATAGCTCACTGTCAAAATAAAATGTTACTCTGTGCATACATTGTAACTCCACCTGAGATATAGCCATAGTGCAGTTTTTCAGTTTTTGTGACTAAAAAACGGTTTTGCCCTCATGGCTTCCAAAAAGCGCCTCAGTAGCGCTAAAGCAGTTTATGATGAGCTAGCGAACAGCGACAGTGAGGAGCTACTTGAATTGAGTGATAGCGACTCGTGGCGATTTATCTTCAGACATCGAAAGTGAATCTGAGATTGACGTGAGTGATCTGCGCACGTGGTGCACTGTTGATTGCGATACGCCAGCGCTGCCAAGATTTCCCTTTACCAGCGCACCTGATATGAAAATACACGTTGACGGTGACAACCCCTTGGCGTACTTGGAATTGTTTCTGACCGATGAGGTAATTGAAATTATTGTGATGGAGACAAATAGGTACGCAGAGCAACAACTAGGTGCTCCACAGAGCCGGTTTTCACGCGGCAGAAAGTGGGAGCCTGTCACAAAAGAGGACATTTGGCTGTTTCTTGGCCTAATTATTCTGCAAGGAGTGGTGGGGAAACCGCTGCAGAAGTGGTACTGGACCACCAACAAAATGCTCGCCATGCCGTTCTTTGGCACTGTCATGTCGGGGTACAATTTTTCCCTCATTATGAAATTTTTGCACTTTGCAAATAATGAGGATTTTGACGAAACAAGTCATCTGGCTCCCAAGCTAAAAAAAAATTTGGGAACTCTACCAAATAATTGTACAAAATTTCCAGCAGAGCTATGTGCCAGAGAGAGATATCAGCATAGTCGAAAGTCTAATGACCTACAAAGGAAGGCTCAGCTGGATATATTACATCGCGTCCAAGAGAGCACGATTTGGCGTCAAATCCTATCTGCTGTGCGAATCCTCTACCGGCAACATCTGGAACGCAGTTATATACACCGACAAAGGAACAAAATTTGATGCAAAGTACAGCAGCTACGGACTGGCAACATCTTCCATCCTGTCACTAATCGAGCCTCTGCTAAACCAAGGCTACTGCATAATGACGGACAATTTTTACACCTCACCAGAACTTTACGAGGTTCTTCTTCAACACAGAACAGATGCCTACGGAACCGTTCAGGCTAACCGGCGCAACCTGCCATCCATGTTTCGAAAAAACAAACTGAAGTCTGGATAATTAGTCGCATGGCAGAAAGGCAAAATGATTGCACTGAGATGGCAGGACAAGAAGGATCTGTACCTCATGAGTACCATTCACAATGCCTCCACAGTGATGGTCCAAACAAAAGGTGGCAAAAACATCCAGAAGCCGCAGGTTGTCATTGACTACAACAGAACCATGGGAGGTGTCGACAGAGCTGACCAAGCTATGACGTTTTATCCTGCGATGAGAAAGCAGCAGAGAAAATATAAAAAGATTTTCCGGCATCTTCTGGAACAGTGTTTGTGGAATGCATACGTTCTGTTCTGCAAAAACAGTGAAAAGCCTGTGGTTCATGCGGACTTTATATGGAAATTGGCGGAATCCGTCTTCCTGAAACACCAAACGCCATCAGTGTCTGTGGGTAGATCCGGACAACGTGCTGTGGAAGTTGTCAACCCAGAACGTCTGACTGGACTTCATTTTATGGACCACATCCTACCAACCCAAAAAAAAAAAGGCAGCACCTACCAGAATGTGCATGGTATGTTGCTCTCGGAGAGATGACAGTGGAAAAAAAAATCCACAAGGAAACGAGGTTCCACTGTCCTGATTGCGATGTTGGACTTTGTGCAGTCCCATGTTTCAAAATTTACCACACCCGTGATGTTTTCTAAAAAAAAAAAAAATGCAGTGTCTGTATAATATTGTTTGGACAGAGTTCCGTGTGTTTGACTTGATTACATTATTTCATTTATTATTATTATTTTTTTTATTATATTATAATTTATGATTTAATTTGTTAAAATTTATTGCACCAAAGATGTCTACTAGACTCTTGTTTAAACAGATTTCAGGGAGTTAGTCCTAAGAATTACAGGCCTACAATAAAAAAACAACAAATTTCCATTGAAAAAAATGTACCGCTTTTAGGACAGAAATACTGACATAATCAGACTGCTAGGGAGGTTAAGGAAACTTCTTTCATAGCTCCACCACGACTTAATTGATCAGGAGCCAGATGTACCTGCAATGTTTTTCACACAGCAAGACTAGACATGGCTATCCTCTCTTCATTTTATTGTTTCCTTAAAGGGACATATTTTCTTGCTTTATCATGGCCACGACTAAAAAAAAATAAAATGTTAATTTGTCCAGTAAATACAAAATCTTGCAGACCATTATTATGTAGCCTTCTCTCAAGCCTGCAGGTAGAACACTGAACTCCATTCCATATGTTTTCCTTAGCTTACCACCTGTTGTAAAAGCCTGTTTACAAAGATCAATAGCTCAAGCTGAAATGTAAGCACAGATCTGGTACTGATCAGATGGCTTTGTTCAAAGTTGCAATCAGACAATACAGATATCAAGGCAGGCAGCTACTGCTGTGCTGTGTCTTTTAGACAACCAGTAGTAGTCTGGGAATTCTTTGCTAGATATTAAATGTTTACTTGTAACACATATACAGCCCTGGTCAAAATTTTGAAAATGACACAAATATTAATTTACCTGCAAGGAAACATGCAGTCAGCATTGCTTTGCACAAAAAGGGATTCTCAGGCAAGGATATTGCTGCTACTAATATTGCTCCTAAATCAACCATTTATCAGATCATCAATAAATTCAAGGAGAAAGGTTCAATTGTTGTGAAGAAGGCTTCAGGGCACCCAAGTAAGTCCAGCAAGTGCCAGGAACTAAAGTTGATTCAGCTGCAGAATTGGGGCACCACCAGTGCAGAGCTTGCTCAGGAATGGCAGCAGGCAGGTGTGAGTGCATTGGCACGCACAGTGAGGTGAAGATTTTTGGAGGATGGTGTGTTGTCATAAAGGGCAGCAAAGCCACTTCTTTCCAGGAAAAACATTAGGGACAGACTGATGTTCTGCAAAAGGTACAGGGATTGGACTCCTGAGAACTGGGGTAAAGACTTTTTCTCTGATGAATTTCCTTTCCGATTGTTTGAGGCATCCGGAAAAAAACCCTTGCCCGGAGAAGAAACATGAGCGCTACCATAAGTCCCTTTCATGCCAATGGTAAATCATCCATGTGTGTGCTTGCTTCTCAGCCAAGGGAGTGGGCTTACTCACAGTTTTGCCTAAGAAAAAAGCCATTAATAAAGATTGGTACAAAAACATCCTCCTCAAGAGCAACTTCTCCCAACCATCCAAGAACAGTTTGGTGACGAACAATGCCTTTTCCAGCATGATGGAGCACCTTGCCATAAGGCAAAAGTGATAACGAAGTGGCTTGGGGAAAAAAAAAACATTGAAATTTTGGGTCCATGGCCATGAAACTCCCCAGACCTTAATCCCATTGAGAACTTGTAGTCAATCCTCAAGAGGCGAGTGAACAAAAAAAGCCCCAAACATTCTAACAGACTCCAAACATTGATTATGCAAGAATCAGCTGCCATCAGTCAGGATGTGGCCCAGAAGTTGATTGATAGCATGCCAGGGTGAATTGCAGAAGTCTGGAAAAAGAAGGGTCAACACTGCAACTATTGACTGTTCGCATAAACCTAACATAATTGTCAGTAAAAGCCTTTGAGACTTATGAAATGCTTGTAATTACGCTTGGTGTCTTTAGATCTTTTTGTCTGATGTTACTATGGTATACTGAAGTAGCAGACTTTTGGCGAAAGCTGTAATGAAAAAAGTAAACGCACACCATTTCACTATCTAGATGGAGAAATATATATATATATATATATATATATATATATATATATATATATATATATCACTTTTGATTTTTTTTTGATTTTTTTTTTTAAACATCAGTTTAAATCTTTTTAAGTAATATCAACACAAAGTAATTTTTTTTTTTTTTAATTGGATCTTGGTCTTATCAGTAAGATGGTATTCTAGCTCTGAACTTGGACACACTGCATGCAGAGAGAGGCTTGTCAATGATAATATACTTTTTTTGTTACACTACCCATCAATCAAATATGGATGTTTAGTAACTGTTCTTCTGAAAAAATCACATATATCAGCATTTTTGTTTAGATCCTGTCGTTTGTTTTTGTTCCAACAGTTTAATGGGATAAATCTGAGAAATGCAACTGAGCAGCAAGCAAGACTGATTATTGGGCAGCAGTGTGATACCATCACCATCTTGGCTCAGTACAATCCTCATATGTGCCAACCCCTCCACTCGCGATCCAGGTGACGTATCTTGTGAGGTTACTTTCTGCGTTGCAAATTTTTGTTTGTGAATATTAAGTCATTTAATTTTATAGAACAGGAAATAGGCAGTCTTTTTAATAAAAACCTCTTAGACCGTTACATGCAGTTTTTATTACTTTCATTGGGAATGTATTTACATGATTATATTATATAGTCAAAGCTATGAGCTTGTTGGACATCCCATTCCAAAACCTTTTCATTTAATATGGAGTCCCCCACCATCCGACATATTTGTGGCTATAGTAGCCTCTGCCATTTTGAGTGTGTCTTTTGGAATGTTTTCCTATTCTGCCAAAAGCGGATTTGTAAGGTCAGGTATTGATGGATAAGAAGACCTGACTCACTATATATGCATTCCCATTTGTCCTAAAAGTATTCTTCAGGGTAAAGGTCAGGGCACTCGGCAGGTCGTTCAAGTTCTTTAACACCAAACTCTTCAAACCATGTCTTTATAGACTTGTTGGGTGAAACTGAACGCACTTTGTCTACAGCTTTTGCCTTACTCCTCACTGGAATAACGTGAACTCATTCATATGGAGGCATGGCCACTTACCTTTAACCATTGAGTGCATTTTCTCCGTGTCTTTTTTTTTTTTTTTTTTTTTTTTTTTTTAATTTTACAATCATCTGGACAAACACAGCACAACTGTGTTTTTACAAGTGTTTTTTTGATCACAAGAAACCATTCCATTTCAATTTTATGTTGCAGCCTATAACTACAGTTTAATTTTTCTCAGTAATCTACACTCAGTACCACAAAATGACAAAGTGAAAACAGAATTTTAGAAATGTCTGTGAATTTATTAAAAAAAAAAAACCCTGAAATATCACGTACTTCTGTATTCAGACCCTTTGGTCAGTACTTTGATGAAGCACCTTTGGCAGCAATTACAGCCTTGGGTCTTCTTCCTTTTTTTTTTTTTTTTTTTTTTTTTTTTTTTTTTTTTTTTTTATGATGATGCAAACAACTTTTTGCACACCTGGATTGGGGGTTTCTTGCCATTCTTTACAAACTCTCTCAAGCTCAGTCAGGTTGGATGGGGACCGTCAGTGGACAGCCATTTTCAGGTTTCAGAGTCAGAGCTCTGGCTGGGCCACTCTAGGACATGCACCACAGATTTGTCCCTAAAGCCACTCCTGTGTTGTCTTGGCTGTATGCTTAGGATCGTTGACATGTTGGATTGTGACCCTTTGACTTTGAGGTCCTGAGCGCTACTTTGCTCCATTCAGCTTTTCCTCAACCCTGACCAGTCTCCCAGTCCCTGCTGCTGAAAAACATCTCCAAAGCACTTGGGGGTGTATAGCACTGAAGAGAGGCCACTCTACCATAAAGTCTAGATAGGGAAGGGCTGCAGTGATGGCTGTCCTTCTGGAAGTTTCTCCCATCTCCACACAGGATCTTTGGAGCTCAGTCAGTGACCATCAGGTTTTTGGTCACCTCTTACGAAAGCCCTTCTTCGGTGATTGCTCATTTTGGCCAGGGAAAACAGTTCTTGGAAGAGTACTCTTCCAAACCTCTTCCATTTGAGAATTGTAGAGGCCATTGTGATCTTAGGAACCTTCAGTGCAGCATATTTTTTTATTTTTTATTTTTTTTGTAGCCTTCCCCAGATCTGTACTTTTGTAATAATCCTGTCTCTGAGATCTGTAAGCAGTTCCTTTTGACCTCATGGCTTTTGCTTTGATACAGTATTCATTGTCAGTTGTGAGGCCTTTTGCGAGACAATGTGTGCCTTTCCAAATCATGTCCAATCAATTTAATTTACCACAGGTGGACTCCAAGGTGTAGAAACATCTTAGCGATGATCAAGAGAAATTGGAGACACCTGAGCTAAATTTCAAGTGTCCTTGCAAAGGATCTGAATATTTATGCCTATGTGATATTTCTGTGTCTACCTTTTCATACATTTGGAAACATTTCTAAAATTCTGCTTCCAGTTTGTCATGAGGTACTGAGCGTAGATTGAGAACAAAAAAAAATTAAACCGCTATAGCATCAGGCTGCAACATAACACAATTGAAAAAAGTGAAGGGGGTCTGAACACTTTATGAATGCACTGTAATTTTTCACTAACATACAGGTGTAGCATTCCAGATCCTTGCACACCCAAACATTCAGTCCCTCTGTGTGCTTTGTGATGATGGTGGAGTTCACTCTTTGCACATTTCATCCCAACCGCCATTTACAGCCACTTAGGGCAGGCATGTAGAAGGGCTTACCAATTTAGTTGATACAAATATATATTTTCCTTATCTTTGAAACTACCTACTTTATCACTGTATATATTTTTGTAAATATTCCTACAGTTCACGACTGGATGCAAGTACTTCTCATTCCACGCCGCATGGAAGTGGAGCGGCGACACCTGACAATCATTCCGTTATTGACACTGTGAGTGAGCAAGATGAGGGAACTATGACTCCGCCTTCAAAGGAAACCACACCCAGCACAAGTCCCCGCAGCTCTCTCAAGTAATATATATAAAATTTTTTCATGCTTGCTTTTCTTCATAGTCCATGATACCTTAACAGAAGTTTTTTGCTTTTTCTACATAGTTTTATTTTTTTCCTTGCAGCATTTTTAACGATTAGCTCTACACTAAAGTAAATGCTTCATTTTTATTACTTTTGATTCAACTGTCACCATTTTCTAGAAAGGTTCAGATGATATGAATGTGAACTTGACGCACATGTGCCATTAAACGAGAAGTAGGACCTAATCTCTTTTGGCCCTACTTCTCCTGTGGATCACAGGAGTGCACTTAGTTCTGCACACCTGTGACTTATTTTCAGCCAACAGCAGGCTAAAGCCTGCTGTCTGCTGATGTCACTGAGCTGGTACAGACACTGGAGAGAACCTGACTTTAAAGTTGGTCTCCTCCCAGATTCCTGACCGGCAGCTGGCTCAGCCTCTCAGCATGCCACTGAAGGCCTGAGCCAGCTGCTCCTGCCCCCCCCTCCACAGCCCAGTGCTCTAGTGAGCACTGGAGTGGCAGAGAAAAAAGTGGTGACTGACAGTCATCAGCTGTCTGCTCACTGAAGACGGAGAACTGAGCAATCAGCAGTCTTTGATCGCTCAGTTCTCTGTCATAGAAGTCGTGGAGGGCAGATGCATTCTGATGCTGCATCCACATAAGTGAGTATCACTGTTTTGTTTTTGAAATTCTGAAATTCTTTTTAAATGTGTATGTAAACTCTGATTTGATCCCTTTTTGTTCTGTTAACCACTTGACGATTGGGCTATAGCTGGATGACCGCTACAGCACGGTCATCCTGTTCTGGGAGGGTGTCCTATGATGTCTTCCTAGAACCGCGCATCCAGCGCTGTCTGTGAATCCTGTTTCCTTTGGATGCAGCTGATCACATGACACGGTAAAGGACCAATCACAGCGGCCTTTTACCACGTGATCAGCTGTGTGAAATCACAGCTGATCACCATGTAAACACACTTGCAGTTATCGGCCGTGCTTTCCACACACTGTCACAGCATGAGGAAAGTTCTGCCAATAACTGGCAACTGTGAAAGGAGACATCTACACTGATAATCAGCCACTGATTATCAGTGCAGCCCCAAAAGTGCCCAACAGTGTAGTCGATCTGTGCCCGTCAGTACCTATCATTGCCGCTTATCAGTGCTGCCTCATCAGTCCCACCACATTAGTGCAGCCTCATCAACAAACATCAGTGAAGGAGAACAATTACCTGTTTGCAAAATTTTACAATAGAAACTAAGAGAACCCTTTTTTGTTTAGCAGAAAATAAAACTCCCAATGGTGATTAAATGCCACCAAAACAAAGCTCCTATTTGTGTGGAAAAAAATGATAAAGATTTCATATGGGTACAGTGTTGCATGCCCGCGCAGTTGTAATTCAAACTACAACAGCACTGAAAGCTGAAAGCTGGCCTGGGCAGGAAGGGGGTAAATGTGCCCAGTACATTCCATTGAAAGTCTTTTTTTGATGAGAGCAAAAAATACTTGTTTCTGTAAAATCAGAAAGAAAAAACATCTTTGAGCTTATAACTTTCTGTGAACTGTGCTTCTGCTGCAATAAAATCTCATGTAGTGTCGTCATCCTTGCCCATGTCTCCTCTATGAACGACAGAAAACTTCTGCCATTATGTGCAGAGGGGGGACGTCGGTTCTGTAGTTCGAATTGGAGCTAGCTGCCTAGGGTGACAAGATGCTTCTCCATAGCTACACTACAGTGAAGTGAGCATTGTCACACTAAGACAGAAAGTGTGTTACCAGAAGGATCAGCTGGAGGTGATAAAAGGAAAAGAAACTACAAAAATAAAATGCAGGCACCATGTCTAAGGACACGTAAGCCGCAGTATTTTAAATATTTTGTATATGAGCTTAAATGTGCTTAAAGTCATATTACAGCAATTTTGTAACATTGTCCTTGTTTTTGTTTTTTGTATATTCATGTCTGTGTGCAGCGTACGCATGCTGTATATGTCATGATTTTTTTATTGAAGTTATCTTTTTTTGGTTAGGACACCTATGGATGGTGTAAAAAGGCATTCAGAAGTCCGTACAGTCACCCTTTCTAAATCCCCAGTAGAGCTTGGAATGCAGATCTGTGGAGGTAATCTTTATGGGATATTTGTGATGGATTTTGATGAGGAGATTGCAGCCGGTGGACTGTCGGGGTTACTTCCAGGAGACCTGATTCTAGAAGTAAGTGGAAAGTATATGTTTATACATAGTGAGTGGGACTGTTGCTCCTTCTGAATAAAAGGCCAAAATATAAGTTACAGCTTTTTACTGATCGTACATCCCAAGATACAGGGTGACTTCATCTTCATTATGATGGGGTAATGCTGCCATCTATATGGGTTTAAACACTGGCAAAAAGACAGGAAATCCCCTCCTAGGAATAACCCCTTTCCACTAGGCATGGCTTCAATTATTTTGCTAGTGTGTTAGGTAGGTGATGGTGATGTCTGTGCAGTCTTTGAATGAAAAAGTGGCTAGCATCTTAACCATTCCATATGAGATTAAGAGACGAGCTCTCGCTGGATCCATTTTCCTGTGGATTTTCTGCGCTCAGAGGATTTGACCCTGGACATGAGGGACAGCCTGTAATGCTGCTGGTCAGAGCTGAACCTTGTGCAATGACATATTGCTTTGTGGACCAGTATGCATATATACAGCTCGAGGGCAGTGGTTCCTAGCTGCGAAGTCCAGTCCTTGAAGGCCCTTGTGGCACTGCCACCATGAGAGAACCCTCCTCCCAGGAGGTCCTGTGGCATTGACTAGTAAATGCCCTGTGGTAGACCCTGCTAGCATCGTCTCCCTATATACGTTTCAGCAGGCCATGTATCATCAATAGCAGAGAGTACAGTGGATCTCCACACAAATGCTGGAGATGAGAAAATCGTCTTTGAAAGTCCTGACTACAGATGGCAGCTGGTGGGCTGGGGTGGAGTTTTGGACAATCTCTTGGTACAGGAAACTTGGTCACTGCAAGTTTGTTGCCCATCAACATCCTGGAATGGAGGGTGATTCTCCTTGTCCTACTTCATTGGTCAGTGCAGCTGAAGGACTTCCTGCGAGGGTTCAGTCGGATAATGCCAAGGCTGGGATGTACATATATCCATCAAGGAGGCCCCACCAGTTGGGCAGCCCAGGAGGAAGTGGTTATCCTCCTGTCTTCAGTGTAACTTGATGTTCCCTCACTGTCCACCATTCACATTCCTGGCATATAAATTTGTCAAGCAGAATTCAACAACTGTCTCCTGGGGAGTGGGCTTTTCACCCAGAAGTGTTCCAGGAGCTCTGCCAACCAAGCGGATCCCTGGATGTGAATCTACTGTGCAGGATTCAAATGGAAGGAACTCCAGTGATTCTGATTGCCCAGATCTGGCCCCAAAGAGCTTGGTTCACTGACATTGTGAACACGTCAGTGGCCGTCCCTCTGACCCTGCGGGATCAACCCCAACCTTTCCTGTTGCAAGGTTTGATCTTCCATCTTCATAGTCGCTGGCTTTAATGGCATTTCTGTTGAAGCCAAAATCTTGAGATACAGAGGAGTCTCTGATTTGGTCACTCTATCCTACTGAAGGCTTGTACGATGACTTCAAGGAAGATTTACCACACGACTTTTGTTGTGGGTCGCATCCTGGCATTTCTCCACTCTCCTGGGACTGGCCTGGATTACTATCAAGATTTTAGCCTTAGCAGTCCTCTTTCAGAGACCAATTGCTTTACTGTCTTTGAGTGCCTTTTGTGCAAGATGTCACACGTATTCTTCTTCCGGTTAAGAGTCCGTTGACTCCATGGGACCTCAACCTGGTACTATCTGTGTTAAAGAAATCTTGGCTTTGAACTCATCTAAGTTTATTCCTTTAGTCCTTCTGACCCAAAAGGTTATATTTCTGGTTACCACTTAGGCTCAGAGCCTCAGAATTGACTGCTCCTTCCTGTATAGAGCTATTCCTGTCACTCCACTGTGATGACATGGTCCAACGGCTTTGCCGTCTTTTTTACCTAAGGTGGTTTTCTTGTTTGATCTTAGCCAGGACATTCTTACATTTTTTCTGTCCTTTGCCTTAGATGCTGGGGCACAAGGCCATCAGGTGTTGAAGGTGACTGTTGCAATTCGAAGTTGACTGTTGCACAATTCCCTCTTTGTATTCCCTGAAAGCCTTAGGAAGGGTCACACATTTTCCAAATTTACCATTTTTGCAATGGCTCAGTCAGTCATTTTTGTTTCTCAAGCTTCTGGTCTGAAGAGGAAAGTTCTCCACCATTATCTCTGATGGCTCATTCTACCAACAGTGTTGGTGCCTCCTGAGCTGTTCATCATCAGGTTTCAGTGGCTCAAGATTGTAAAGCTGCTACCTGGTCTTTCATACTTTTTTTTAAATGTGGGTGTTTCAGCCAATGAGGATGCTACTTTTGGTCATTCAATTTTGCAGGCTACTGTGCAAGATTCTGACTTGTTTTGGTTCAGTTATTTGAGCCTGTTTGGCTTGTCTTCCCATCATATTCAGTGCTTTGGGACATGTTTATCGTAATGAAGATGCATTGTGTCCTGGGATGAACACTGATAATTCCTATTGTTAGGTTAAAAATGATAAAGTTTTGATACAACTAGCACTAATTTTCTTGATATTTTATGAAAAACTGTTCCTCCTTTCTGTGAAGCTTTGGGTATTCTTTAGGTTTTAGATTACCCTTCTTTGATATGATTACTCAGGAAAAAGGGGATATTCTTGTGATTGCAGAAACATTTGTTTATAGATATAAAAAATATATATATAATATATATACATACACTGAAATACCTTTTTGTATACATGATCACATACCGTAAGTTCTCAGCTGAGTAAAAGCTTGGGCAGGAGAAACAGGAGCACACTGATCTTCATTTCATAGGTTGAATAAGAGCTTGGGGGGGTGTCAGGACAAGTCTGGTCATTGGGTGGGGGGGAGGCGGAGTTCTCAGCATAGATGGGGAACTGACCACTGTGTGTTCTCCTGTTTAGCGTGATCATTTTTAATAGGAAAGCAGAGGGACTGGCAGGAACACCAGGGATTTCACACAAAAGCAATGCAAAGAGAACAGGCTACTCTTTCTTACAATTACCATGGTATAGCAGGCACTTATTAGGAATGTGAAATGTTGGGTTTACATTTTCTTTAATCACTTGCCGTCCGGAAGATTTATTCCCCTTCATGACCAGGCCATTTTTTCCTATACAGCGCTGCACTACTTTATCGGACAATTGAGCTGTCATGCAACACTGCACAGAAATGTGATGGTTTTTGATCACCACTGGGTTTTTTATGTTTTGTGCTATAAATGAAAAAAGACCAAAATTTAAAAAAAAAAAAAAAAAAATTTTTTTTTTACTTTTTGCTATAAAATATATCCCATACAAAAAAAAATCCCAATAACAATGGGTATGGCCTGGACCTGCTAATCAGCATGTCAGGGAGCCAATTGCAGAGCGGGTAGGGCTCACGCTCCCCCAACTCGAAAAGAAAATCGTGTGTATATTTACGTGATTTTGCACAGCTGATATGCATTGGAGCAGTAAAGCTCTTGGATTTATAACTCTCTAAAGCCTTGTACTCACGATGAGAATATTGGACGAAAAACACCACTTTCGGAGTGATCATACAATAATCTGATTGTTAGGACACCGCTTTCGACAGCTGATCACGACAGTTCATGCAAAAATATCCAAAGGGACAAGCACAAAAATTTTTCTCATGCATAAAAAAAAAAAACTTGAGTGACCAAGACAATACAATGCATTACATCAGTTCTGAAGTTGTATTTTTCTTTTCGTGAATTTTTTTAACTTTATTCACTTTCATAACCTATTAATTTGTGATATGAGACTATCATGCAAAAAACAAAATTAAAAAAATGGATGATCATTCCTCCACTATTCTCAATGTGTGTTAAGATGATATGTTTAGTGTATGTGCATTTAAGTAGAAACAGAGATATAGAATGAATGGACATTTTTGCCTACTGTTAAAATGTTTTGATGAAATGAGGTAATGCTGCTTTTAAAATATCATGGCATTAATGTCCAGTTTTGCTGTTGTCTTTTTAGAAATCCATGTGAAGCACTATAATTTCATTTCTGCAGCTGGGCCAGCTGTCTTTTCTGCCTTTTTTTTTCTCCATTCTGTTTTTATTGATTTTTTTTTTCCAATAAGGAATAGAACACAGAAAGGAAAGGAGCAAGAAGGGAGGGGGGGCGGCGGGCGGCAACGTCAGAACTTGATCTGATCTGAACAATAGGGGGTCAGTTGTTGATTACTACATTCAGTAGTGCAAGAATACAATAATAACCAGATGTTAAACCACCTGGCAGTGCAGGGTCGGGGTGGCTGTTTATAAACGACCTCCCCGCACCCTGCTTGTGCGCGCTCCCTGGAGCGCGCAGCACCGCGATCCGGTGCCCGCTGTGTCCTCCGGACACAGTGGAACACCGATTGTCGGACGGGACCTCTGTGCGAGGTCCCGATCATGTGATCACTGATTGGACAATCAGTGAGCACATGCAGAGTAGTAAGCAAGATGTCACTTGTGACATCATTGCTTACTACGTGTGAAATCTGTGAATGATCTCAGAGGTCATATGGCACAAGGCTATTCACATCAGCCTTGTACCATGTGACAAGCTGTGACCAATCACAGCTCACACAGTTCTCAATGGCTGCAAGAATGCAGCTAGAGAGAAGGAGAAATTATTGCTTTTACATCCTTTATGGGTGTAAAAGCAATCAGTTTAAAAAAAAAAAAAAAAAAAAAAAATCTTCATCAGCCCCCACGAGTAGTACAGTGTACATGGTGACACTGTACTGCTAGGGTGACCGTATGTAAAAAAAAAAAAAAAATAATAATAAAAAATAATATAAAAAAAAGTTTTAAAAATTATAATTTTTGGTTATAAACTAATTTGGGGTTTTTTTTTTTTTTTGGACTTTTTAATTTACATAGCAAAAAAAAATAAAAATCCCAGTGGTGAATAAATACTACCAAAATAAAGCTTTATCTGTCTCAAAAAAATGCTAAAACATTCATATGGGTACAGTGTTGCATGACCGCACAATTTTCATTCAAAGTGTGATAGCACTGAAAGCTGAAAATTGGCCTGGACAGGAAGGGGGTAAAAGTGTCTGGACTGGAAGTGGTTAAAAAGCGGTACTGAACCCAAAACCAAAACTTTAATACAGTATATTGCAGCTTACCAATCATTAGACTTGGTGGCTGCATTTATTTTATTTTCTTAGGCTTTTTCCCTCCTGTTTTCACATGGTCATCTGGCCAGCAACACACCTCCTGTATTAGAGTGCCCCCACTCTGGATGAACGAACACAGGGGTACCTTTGGACAGCAGCATTATCAGCCTTAGGGAAGGAGATTGTGCTTAGATACACTAACAAATTGAAGCCAAACTGCAGCTCCATAATTTATATGCAGTTACAACAAAACCTTTTGTGATAAAGATTTTACATAAATGCTGACCATTGTACAGGCACCCCTGTCAATGTTAAATGGTTTGTATTTCAAAAGAACAAGCTCTCCAGCTGACTGCCTCAGTTACAGAGACGGGACAGACTTACTCTACTCTACTCACAGTCCTTCAAAATTCCAATAATTACACTTGCATTTCCAGGTGGGAAAGGGACCTCAAAAGCACCAAAGACCAGGGCTGCTGGTCACAAATTTGGACCACGTTGACTTCCTGCTCCATCAATATTCTCACTATTGAATCAGCCTTTAAACTGGTCACGAGGTGGTACCTGGTACCATCCCACCTGGCACATCCCCACCCATCTTCCCTCGGCACAGGGGATGCTCTACTCTGGGATACACCCTCCACATATGGTGCACATGTCCCATGCTCTTCCGGTTCTGGAAGACCCATGGCATGTACTTCTGCACCTGAACCCCTCCCTTACTGGCGGCAAAACAAACCATAGCTAAAGCTTGGAAACGCCAGTTCATACCTTTCACTGAAGTCCACCACCGCTTAGACTTCTTTTTATTTTTTATCACCAAAAGGCTATCCAGCACTCTTTTGGATACCCATGAGAAATGTATTAAAATATGGACCCCATGAATTCAACATGCCCACCCTCCTATATCAACCGCCATCTGCACATTGCTATAAACACTGAGACCCTGCAGCTCAGGTTCGAGTGCTCTTGATGTCCCCTTTTGTTTTTCTTTCTCCCTCTTCCACTTTCCCATTTTCAAACCCCCCCCCCCCTTTTTTTTGTGGGGGGGGGGGGTATTCTGCAGGGATGATTTGTGGTTCATATATACCTTCGTGCATAAAGTTCTCAGAGAAAAGAATCAAGCAATGATATTTCACTCATCGACGCCTGATCCCATATTATAGACATACGGACTTTCTCAGGTTACCTATATTGTTTCATTGTTATAACATGTTCAGTGTACCTTTTTGACATACCAGCTTTGTTGCTGGTTACAGTTCTTCTATTTAATGCATGACCGCTTTTGACTTGCCAGTCATTGATTTCATGACTCTACCTGTACACATGATAGTGGTTGCAATTGTATCACTTATAAACAAATTTTTTTCAATAAAAATCTATTGAAGCGAAATACAAACTTACTGGCTAGATCACAGGTAAAAATAGAATAAACAGAGCATAAAAAGGATATGAATGCAGCCATAATATCTAAGCTGCACCTCCATGTCCTTCCTAGAGAGGATATGATATCTAAGCCTTTGCTTCTTTTCTTCTGGAACATACTTGTATTACAGCCAGTTTCAGATAGTAGAAAAATTGTTTTGGAAGGGTAATTGGTACTGTCTGAACAGCAATACTGCCAAACCAGGTATGATGTTGACCTCCCAGGATTGTATTTTCAGTCCTAAGTCATCCAGCAATGGTTTATAATTAGGCTTGTATAGATCTGGTAACCTGGAGGAGCTCCATACCACTAAGTAGGTTATATAATCTGTTTTCTGTTTGAATGGGATCGAGTTTTGTACATGGAATTGTTCAGTTGGGGGGATATATGCTATACATTAAGTGTCTCAGTTTTTTGTAAATTTACTTTCTATTTGCTGTGTGCTGTATTTGAATTCTTGTAAGGGAGAATGGTGCCCTACCATGGGGATTTGACAAATATACAAGCAAGTCATCTGCATATAACCAAGTTTATGGGAGCGAGTTCCAATGGCAATGCTTTGGATGGAGTGGTTTTGAAAGATAGCGTTGACTAAGCGTTCCATTACTGTCTTTTCTGTTTCTTGTAGATGTCAATAGAGCTGTAAGAGGACTTTATTGTACCTTATTGAATAAATAGATGTTGCAGGGATATTCATTCTCTAGCCTTACTTCAGTCTTTCCTGTTTCAAACCTGGCTTTTTGTAAAATTAAGAATACAGTATGCTATTTTTAAATCTCTTGTCAAACCATAATATACTGAACTCTCACTTTTTATTTAATTTGTAATTGGATTAAAAGGACTTTTTCAGCACTGTAAGTATGGGAGTTTCTGGTTACAAAGGTGTGACATTTTCCTCTTCTTTGCTTTTAGTGAATCACAGACCTTAAGCAAGGACATGTTAATAGGGGCAGCTCCCATATTTATGTCCTCACTGTTTCCCTTTAAGTAAAATCTTTTCTTTTTAGGAGTGGAAATGTGGGTTACCATTTGCACCAAGTACAGTTTAGTTGGGTTTCACTTCTGGGGCCACCACTTTAGAAAGGATAAACACCTCTGCTATATGTCATCTGATTTTGATAACCATCTTTTGGGAGTCTTGGATCCCATAGTGATAGGTGCACAAAAATCTGCACATGTATACTGACTGTTTTATGATTGGAGGAAAGAGCAGGTTAGGTGCTAATACCACTGGTTGGTTACGTAAAAAAATAACTTGCACGCACACACTCACACACACAACCTGATTTTTTGAGATCTATTCACTCACCAAAACCTTTGAAAGCTTCTCATGAGATTTGTCTTCTCGTGCACGTATCTTAGTTTTCTCCATATGTGTGGGATTATTGACAAATCTGTTTCTGTACTGCATATACCTGTCTTCTGCAGGCTTGTCATTATTCAGCCACAAGATGGCAGCACAATGCTCCAGTCATAGGCAGCATGTGGACAAAGATTGGACACAATCTAACAGCTCTGCCTGGAATTCATTCTTTTCCTATTTTGAGTTACGTTTTGACTTGATTTTTTTTTATTGAATTCTTATGTAGTCCTTTATAACTAGAAATAAAAAGCTCATATGTTATTTAAGAAAGTATGGAAAGGCTTTTCCCCTGGGCAGCAGGCCATAAACAGCAGATGAATGATTAGGAAAATACTTTCCTCCTAATAATCCATGGCTCCTGTAATCCTTTTGTTTTTTGTTTTTTTTTGTATGTGATGGATAAAGGAGGCAAAATGTATGTTGTACTGGTTTATTCCAATGATACATTTACTGTGTTTTATGATTCTGCATGCTGATATCATACTCTGTCATCCTTCTTTCAGATAAAGATCTAACATGTAGTATGGGAAGTGACCTTGGCCTTACCACTCATGGGATTCTTCCCCTGTTGATTCAGACCTGCAAAACTCTAGTCTTTCAGCTGTTATGTGCCACAAAAATTGAGGGCAAAACTGTTATTTCCTTTACATCATCTTCCGCAATTCCAAGCTGTGATGTGCTGATGGCACATAGAGATAATACTTAGCTTGGCTGCGTAGATGTTTTGCTTTTCCTTAATCGCTAGAAAGAAGCTAGGTTAATGCTTTCTTTAGTCCCGTTTGAATCATAGTTGTCCTTGCGTGGGACAACCCCTGCAATAGTCCAACACTACTTCCCAGCAAATATGTAGAATGTTTTTTTTTTTTCACTTCCTAACTCTTAACCACTTTTCTAGCAAGGCACCTTTATAAACGGCATGGTAGGCAAGTAGCTAAATCAAACTCACAGCTGCTGATGCAGCAGCTAGCTTGTGGCTGGCTTTTAACAGCCGGCAAAGGGCTTTCCAATAAAAGTGATCTGGGTCTCCCAATCACTTTTATGGGGCTCTCAAAGTGCCACCCCCTCACTTGTGATCGCAGTAAAGTAGCAAAAGTAGTCAAAATAATAATAAAAAAATAATTAAATACCCACATCATCCCCCTACACACCCCATACAAAAAGTGCAGTGTAGAGCAAGTATGTGTATGTAAACATCAGTTGCGCCACATATGTGAGGCATAGTCCCGACCATCAGATATAGAGCAATAATTCTAGTATAATAACGGTTAACTGTTAAATCTAACCTGATAAAACCTGTAAAGGATTTTAAATTGTTACCTATGGTTTTTGTTTTTTTTTTTGTTTTGTTTTTTTTTAGATTTCCTGGGTGTGCGCAATTTTAAAATGTGTGCAAGAAAAAATTAAGAACTTGCCCTAGTAGGCGAATGGTTAAAGCCCAACTCCCCCTACACTGCAAGGATCCATTGCTCGTTATGGCTAAGGGATTGTAGAACAGCCTCTGTCACTTGCCTAATTCCTTGCTCCAGCACTCTCCTACTTTTGTACCAAGCTCTGATCTTTGATCAGGACCTCAGCGCCATCACGTACCATTTAGTTGGGCTGTTACCCTGTATGATATGCTGAGGAGCTTGCAGTGTCACTGGAACTGGTCCTGGCTTACAGAACAGCTGGTTTGTTTTTATGTTCTGTGAATTCTATATTTACAAGTTTTTTCTTTGTTTTACTTTTGTAGTATGGCTCTGTTGATATGAGGAACAAAACGGCTGAAGAAGCTTACCTAGAAATGCTGAAACCAACAGAGAATGTCAAACTAAAAGTACAGCAGAAATTAGAGGAATTCAATAAAATCAAAGACCAAACTGGGGATGGATTCTATGTCAGGTTAGTTTAAACATTACGCTGAATGTCAGAACGTTTACTGCATGTGTGTGTGTGTGTGTGCGTGCGAGTGAGATTTATTAAATAATTACCATTTGCACTACTTAAATATCCAGCTTTTGGCCTGCAGTTCTAATTCTGAAAATGTTAAAATGGTGACTGAAAATTGGAAGCATGTTGTGGAAATTTCACATATACACGTAATCCATGTGATTTGCTGTAGTTCTTCCCCAGGGGCATGGCAGCACTTGTATATTTTGGCTGTGGTTTTTATATAACTATGACACTTTTTAACTTCTAGGCACGGCAGTAACATTGGGGTCAGTTCACTAAAGGTTACCGCATGCGATAACACGGTCACGTGACTCATTTGCATAAATTATCGCATGCGATAAGAGTCAATTCTTCAAAGTAAAATATCGAATATGAGGTAAATACCGCACATTTGTTATAATAGTAAGATAAATACCGCAAAAACACATAAGATAGATCATTAAAGTTAATTAATTTAAAAAAGCACACATTTATTATTTATCACCTGGTGTTTGCTGGCGGTATTTTTAGACTGTACAAAATAACAATTAGAGAAACTCTGCACTGGCCAGAAAGTGAAAAGTATACAATGTATCAATGTGAAAATGTTCTTCTTTGAGCTCAGAAATAAAAATAAATTGTAGTATTTCATCAGAGGGAGATCATTTTGTGAATGAAAGCACGCTACAATGTTTTCATAGTTTCACAGTATGTAGTGTAGATACAGCCTGGCATTATCAAAGGTGCTAGTACTTGTAGGAAGATGATTAGTTCAGCTGGCACAAGGGTGATCATGTGCTTTAGGCACATAAAAGCATTGCTAACTAGCAATACCTTGGATCAAGCAGCGTACAGCCAAAGCTCATTTGTAGATCACAGGAGTGCAGTTTGTTCTGCACTCCTGTGACCTGTTTCCAGCCAACAGCGGGCTAAAATCCGCTGTCGGCTGACGCCACTCAGCCGGCCCAGGCTGGGGAAAGATCCCGACTTTAAAGTTGGGACCCACCCAGATGTCTGGACCAGCACCTAACTCACCTTTTCAGCGAGCTGCTGAGAGTCTGAGCCAGCCGCTCCCACTCCCAGTGCAGCAGGGAGAACTGAGTGATCAACGTTTGATAGCTCCGCTCTCACTCACCCTTGGAGCTGGCGGAGGACAGATGCAGAATCGGACCGATGCAGCATCCAACTCAGTAAGTGTGATTTAAAAAAAAAAAAAGTACTTTAAGGGAGTGGAAGGTTACTTTTGGTATTAGGACATTTGTGCATGGCAGTTGTGGAGATTGTGAATCGTTTAGTAGTGGCGTAAGCTCTAAAAATGCAATATTTGTTTTATGAGACATAATTATGCAACCCATGACCCATAATGACAGACCTTTTGGATTTGTGCTGAAAAGCATAACTTGAGATTATTTTTAGGATGCTTCTTGGTTCACCTGTTTTGCTAGCAGCAAATTTCCATCCATTAGTGGAATCAGTCTTCTGTCTTTAGAAAATTTCTGTACAGGACTTTTGGATTTGTAGGGTATTTTGGTCTTTTTCATTTCTGATCATCAACACCATTCAGTGACATAAATGCGCACAACATGTCTATTATTTTTCTCTGACCTTCCTTTTACTCCATAGAAGAAAAGGGACAGGAGGCGCCCATCTGAGTGTAGTAATAACACTGTATTTAATAGCAAAGGATTAAAAACGCTCACAAAAGAAGTAATATAATCTCATCTGTGTATATGAGAGATGACCGTTCCTCAAAACATCCTGCAGGCGCCCCTGGTGGTTAGTGCAATAGCAGTTTGGCTGATGGAGATGGTGAGAGACACTGTAGTGATCAATCCTGCAAAGTGGTGGTGTTGTAGAGCTGATCCAGTGGCATTTGTTAAGGAAGGAGCCTAGTAACCAGCCTGGAACACTCCGGCAGGATGTGACATCACAGGAAGAGGCAGAGGGTCAGTGGGGAGGAAGAGCACAGACGTGGGACAGTCAGACTACGTGCTCGGAGCCTCTAGCTCAGTGGTTCTCAACCTTCCTAATGCCGTGACCCTTTAATACAGTTCCTCATGTTGTGGTGACCCCCAACCATAAAATTATTTACCCAGTAATTATAAATCATGAGTGTCGTTTTACCTCCAATACTGCTGCTTTTAACAGAGTAGCTGCTTTTAACAGAGTAGCTGCTTTCAACACAGCAGCTGCTTTCTACACAGTAGCTGCTCTTTACACATCGGAAATGTGTTTTCTGATGGTCTTAGGCGACCCCTGTGAAAGGGTCGTTCGACCCCCAAAGGGGTCGCGACCCACAGGTTGAGAACCACTGCTCTAGCTCCTTCTATTGGCCTGGTAGACCTTGGGGAAGTAGTGGCTTAAATAGAGGACACTGTCAGGCGTGGAACAGTGCTCAGCGGAGATTGAAAGACACAGTAACATGGAAAAAAACGCATATCAATGTGGAACATTATCTCCAAGCACAAAGCTATAAAAAAATAAAGAAAAAAAAGAAAGCACTGAACCATAAAACAGAAAATTATGAAGGATATGTATGTATAACGGTGTAGACATACTGTTATTAGCAATGATAATAAAAATGGTAATGAACATAGAATTGCATGTATGGTAGTGTCGATAACATGGAAAAAAGGTGTAACAAAAACAAACGGTAATGAAAGTGGGGGCACTGAAAAGGGGGGGGGGATGAAAAGTCATATGACTATGTACTCATGTCAGTATATGCACATCTATGTATGGAAGATGCAGTGCTAGGATAGACATTGGGGTATTATCAGAGGAAAGGACAGATGATTATAATATAGTGTAAACTAAAACAAAAACAACCTGCGCTACAAGAACTATATGGAAAAATTTGGAAGTGAATGCTGCTGTGCCTTGATAAGAATCAAAAAGATTGATAAAAATCAAAAAATCATTGAGACAATAAAACGGTGAAAAACATGAAATGAATCAATAATTATACACAAATCATAATAAATTCTGTGGTTATAAAATAAATGTCCAAAACGAAAAAAAAAATATAAAATTTGTGTCCAACTACAAAAAGTAATGAAACCAAAAACAAAGAAAGTCCCCTTTAAACATGCAAATCGTGCTCCAAAAAAAATTTAGAATAAGTGTAATACAGAGAAAAGACTCCCATGGATCCACACCTTCTTGTGAATACTGGTGTATTCGGCACTCACCAGAGAGAAGACTAAATTGCACTTTATGGATGCAATATTATCCTCCAATTCCCAGGGAAAATTTCCTCTCCATAGCCTCCTCTATATACAAGAGCTTCCTTATATCCAACTTCAAAAGGGATTTCCCCTCATAACGATGTGTAATATAAGAAGACAAAGGAGAACCAATAGTGCAATATTGCAAAGACTTTTAGTTGATTAAAATAGTGCTCAATCTACTCACATAACTTAAAATAAGTCACCAATTGACAAAATCTTCCAAAACAGACTTCCTAGTGTAAAACAGATTCCAGAAAGTAAACCAAACTGGCAGCACTGAGTAAGAGATCAGCTCTAGGCATGTACAAAATGACCCTGGAATGCACCGACCGGCGTGCGCTCCACTCACCCGGATATAACGTCACAAGCTCAACATGAGAAGCTGGAAGTACGTCTGTCTTATGTGTTTCGCCCATCCTCCAGGACGTTATCAAAGACCTATAGTGTGTATCTCAATCTCCTCATTAAGCCCTCTTGGGGCTAGGGTGTCTAAGGTGTAGATCCAGTATGTTTCATGTTGGCAGAGGCGCTTAAAACGCTCTGCCACTGAGGATAATATGGAAATGTGTTCCAGGACCCACACGAAGAGCCTCGTGATGGATTTGTCATGATGAAATGACATATTCGGTGGAAAAGTTGTAATATTCCTTTATGGGGTAGGTTTTCCGTGCATGTAAGGCATTGTGCCTTAGATGTACCTTTATTCAACATGGTCAGAAAAACATTCACCATCAAAGGGAAAACCTACCCCATAAAGGAATTGTACAGCTGTTCCACCGAATATGTCATTTACTGTTTAACATGCCTGTGTGGGTTATTTTACGTAGGAAGGACTATCAGAACACCACGTAAACGCTTTGGCGAGCATAGACGCCTCATTGAAGCAGGTTCTGATAAGCAGTGTCCCTAGACACTACACAGAACATCATGACAAATCCACCACGGCGCTCTTCGTGTGGGTCCTGGAACACATTCCCTCATTACCTTCAGTGGCAGAGCGTTTTAAGCGCCTCTGCCAACGCAAAACATACTGGATCTACACCTTAGACACCCTAGCCCCAGGAGGGCTTAATGAGATCGAGATACACACTATATTATAATCATTTTTCCATTCCTCCGATAATACCCTAATGTCTATCCTAGCATCTTCCATACATAGATGTGCATATACTGATATGCGTACATAGTCATATGACTTTTCATTTCCCTCCCTCTCTTTTCAGTGCCCCCACTTTCATTACCCTGTTTCTTTTTGTTACACCTTTTTTCCATGTTATCGACACTATTGTATATGCAATTCTACATTCGTTACCATTTTTATTATTGCTAATAACCGTTTGTCTACACTATTATACATACATATCCTTCATAATTTTCTGTTTTATGGTTCAGTGCTCTTTTTATTATTTATTTTTTTTAGAACTTTGTGCTTTGAGATCATGTTCCACATTGATATGCTTTTTTCCATGTTACTGTGTCTTTAAATCTCCACTGAGCACTGTTGTTCCACACCTGACAGTGTCCTCTATTTAAGCTGTTACTTCCCCAAGGTCCACCTTGCCAATAGAAGGAGCAAGGAGGGGTGTCAAATTGGCGGTCATCCAGCTGTTGCGAAACTATAAGTCCCATCATGCCTCTGCATTTGGGAGTCATGCTTTTAACTGTCAATTTTGCAATGCCTCATGTGATGTGTACTTTGGCAACAGCTGGAGGGCTGCCAATTTGACATCTGTGAGCTAGAGGCTCTGAGTGCGTAGCCTGACCGTCCCACGTCTGTGCTCTTCCTCCACACTGACCCACCGCCTCTTCCTGTGACGTCACATCCTGCCGGTGTGTTCCAGGCTGGTTACTAGGATCCTTCCTGCACAAACGCCACTGGATCAGCTCTACAACACCGCCATTTTGCAGGATTGACCACTACAGTGTCTCTCACTATCTCCATCAGCCCAGCTGCTATTGCACTAACCAGCGGTGGCGCCTGCAGGACATTTTGAGGAATGGTCATCTCTCATTTACTCAGATGAGCTTCTTTTATTACCTCCTTTGTGAATGTTTTTAATCCTTTCCTATTACATACAGTGTTATTACTACACTCAGAAGGGTGCCTCCTGTCCCTTTTCTTCTGTTTCTGCATACAGAGCTGGCTTGCTCTGAGGATGGCTGCCGTCTTTTTTGCTAAAAAGATTCCAGGCAGATTGCCTGAGAGAATCTTATAAGGACTTATTATGCACCAATGCATTTACATACCCTGATTTAAAGTACTTGTATGTCAATATTTCCATTATCATCTATTACTTTATCTTTTTTTATCCTTTTCACCCTTACACTACTTTACTCCTGTGCGCCAGAGTTACTCGTTCGTTCCTTTTAATCCATCACTTGGGCAGCTCATGGGTTTAGTTTTATTTTTTTTTAACTGGATCTCTGTATATTCTTTTTTTCAGAGCACTTTATGATAGAACAGCAGAAAACCCTCAGGAACTAAGTTTTAAGAAGGACGATATCCTGTTTGTGGATGACACCCTTCCTTTGGGAGCTTTTGGTGCATGGATGGGTTGGCAGCTTGATGAAAATGCTCAGAAACTGGAGAGGGGCCAGATCCCCAGCAAATACATGTGAGTGTGAAGGGCTGCATTAAAGTGTTACTAAACCCATGACCCTGCATTCACTATATCTGGTCTCCTACAGTACACAGAACATACAATTATTTTAGTAAATATAAACTGCTAAATACCTTTTATCATCAGCAGCATAGAACAGTATTGCGATTCCTATCAGTGCCAACCTGAGCACTGGTTAATCTTGTAGGAGGAGTTTTCATTCTCCTCTGACTGTCCTGTGAGGCTGCATGACCCCTGCGCCTCTATCTGAACAGTGCTGATTTGCCCTGTGCTGATCACATACACCCTCGCAAAGAAAAAAAAAAACTATAGCAATACACACTAAACTGAGCATGTGCACAGCGACTCCTAGAGCTCTGTACTATCCGCAGATGTATTGGGCACAATAGAAGACAGGGAGGATCAGGGAAGATAGATTCAAACAGCCCTTTTACACAATGTGGAGGATTGAGCCCTTACATTCCACAGAGAATAACAAGCATGCTATACTGCATATATTTTATTGTTGTGGATTTAGTAACACTGTAAGTCCTGCATCAGTCAGAGCTACAAAGTATCTGTCTGGTACACAATACAGACAACTCACCACAGCTTGTTTCACAATTCCACAAATAGACTTGAATGGTACAGAGATAAAATGAGGCGACACAGCTTTTTCTCTTCCAGTTTCTTTAATATAGTTGAGATTTAGCTTGTTAAAATGTATAAACACCGCATCTTTGACTGCAGAGCATGCATAGTCAAATTCTGAGTCACCCAAGGCTTGTAAATGTAAGTGTTTTGAGTAATTTTACTGCTTTATATGCATCTGAAAACAAGAGTGCACAGAGACAATAAAATATCTGAAGTTATTTTAACCTACTTAATGTAAAAGCCTCAATGCTAAATATTTTCTTCAGGATGGAACAAGAATTCTCCCGTCGTCTCAGTGTTTCAGAGGCAAAAGATGAAGGTGCTGCTGGGAAGACTCTTTCTGCTGCTGCCAGGCGCTCTTTTTTCCGAAGGAAACACAAACACAAGCGGAGTGGGTCTAAAGATGGCAAGGAACTTCAAGGGCTTGACACAATCAGCACAGATTCCATCCCTTTTCTAGATGGTGAGTCATTGACGCACAGTGAAATTAGTGAATCTGCTCAAAATATCTATTGCTCTTTTTAGTATGCAACTCATTTGGCAAAAGTAATTTTCTTTATGGTACAGCACAGGACACAGGCTGTTAAGCATAATGGATAGGTTAAAATGCTGCACCTTCTTCAGGTGGTTGGACACTGGCAAAGCCACTCAAAACTTTAACACTTCCTCATGTAATCCCTTCCACGTGTGATCCTCAGTATTTTGCTAGTGTCGTTTGTTGATGATGCACCAAAATGACTCGGCGTTGACCTTGGGGATAGGATCCAGGGTGAAGTAGTCGGGTGCTGGCCCATTGAAAGCAGATCTGGGCAACTGATGGTCAGTCACTGATCAGATACTGGAGCAGGCGGATCAGAGTTATGAGCCCGTTAAGATGGTGCCACTTCATTCCTTATTAGGGTTGGGCTCAATCAGCTCAGCATGCCCTCAGAACTCTGAACGGCCCCCATTTTTGCACTCCTGTGTTTGCACAGAACTGCCTTATTTCCATTTTTTAACAGAGCGTGTTACAGCAGGACACACATTAGGCAGACAGCTGCCTACTTGACTGGAAAGGATGCCATTTGAAGATAAACACCTCTTTGGGAAGTCTTTGGATGCTAACATCAAGAAGGTGACGGGTGGGAAAAGTACTGTTTTGCCCAGTAATAAGATGAAGCTCTCTACAGGTAAGCCAGATCCCTCTGCAAAGAAAAAAAAATCATCTTTTGTTTCTCACAGGCATCCATATCCAAGGCTAAACCAGGCAATTCCTTTTGCCGCAAGGCTTGGTCTTCTAGACCATCCAAACCTGATCCCAAATCCCCTTCACAATGAAGAGGCACCCCCATTGTTATCAGTGTGGGTGACATTTGCTGACCTTTGCAAACATTGGGTGTTAGGAGATTTAGACTCCTGGGTATAGGAGGACTTATTCTCTGGTTGCAAACTGGAATTTCCAAGCCATTCACTATTTTGTTTTTGGCCATCCAATGTGCCTTCATCTCCTCTACACAGAGCAGATTTACTGAAAGCTGTGTCCCAACTTCAGACTTAAGGTGTCAGGATGCAGGTCCCAAAGGAAGAGGCGTATTGGGAGTTCTCTAATCTGTTTACGGTTCCAAATCTGAATGGAGTGGTCAGACCCATTCTGGACATCAAATTGCTAAATCCCTTTCTGAAAGTCAAAGTTCAGCATGGAATCTACTTTATCAGTCATAGCGACTCTTTGGCCAGGGAATTCATAGCATCAATTGACATCAAGGATGCATATGTGCACATCTTGATCTTTCCTCCTCACCTTCAATGCCTGTTTGTGGTGAAGGACGACTATTTTCAATTTGCGGCTCTTCCCTTTGGACTGTCCATGGCTCCCAAAGTGTTTACAACAGTCTTGGCACTGGTGCTGACTCTGTTCCAATTGGATTCACATTGAAGGGAGAGGTCAGTATTTGCCCTGAGGAAGAACCTCTAACAGATGATATAGGTCTTGCAGAGGTTCAGTTGGATTTTCAAACTTCAAATATCGGTTTTGGAACCATCTGTGTCACCAATACCTGGGATTGGTGCTGGATAAGGCAAAGAACAAGGTGTTTCTGCCATGGGAGACCCTTCCTTCTGCTGAACTGGATAGCTCTGACCAAGGATTCCTGCTATTCAGGCTAAGGAAGAGTGCTAGGGATATCAAGTGCAAGGGACTTAAAAACTCATCTAACAATTTCTTGGAGGTGAGAATGATTAATCCTTTTCTTTCTGTGGTGGACAGACCTTCTCAGGGGTTGCCTGGTCAGAGTACATTCTGACAATGCTGCAGCTGTGGCTTACATAAGTCGGCCACCAAGTAGGCACTAAAAGTCATGCAGCTCAGAAGGTACCAGATCTCCTCTTACATTGGCTGGAGACCCATCATGCACATTCTGGGAATGAAAATCTGGCAGGCAGACATTCTGAATTGTCAGGAACTGACACTGGTGAATGGTCACGACACCAGGAGGTGTGTACAGGGAGAGCTGTCATCATTGGGAGACTCTGCACGTGAATCTCCTAGCATCTAGGTTTAAAAATGAACTGGACAATTTTGGGTTCAGAAAAAGGGATCCTCTAGAATTGTCAGTGGACACTCTAGTTTCTGTGGCATCCATTCTATCTGTTTTATGCATTCCCCTCATTTCAGTTGTTACCATGTCTGCTTCACAGGATCGAGGTGGAAAAAGCTACAATGAATCTGGGGGCCCCAAATAGGCCAAAAAGAGCTTGCTTCTCGGACATTCTTAGCATGTTAGTGGAACCGCCTGGGACCCTTCTGGATCATCCAGACCTTTTGTCACAAGATCCTGTTTACCACTCTGCTTCACGGTTGCTTCCTTTAATGGCATGGTTGTTGAGGCTCAGGTTCTTAGGGAAAAGAAAAAGGGGGAGTATCGGTAATGCACATGCTTCTTAAGGCAAGATAGGCCACTTGTTGAAAAGATATACCATTGTACCTGGAAGGCATATTTCCATTGTTGTGAGCAGAAGAACTTCTATCCTAGCCATTTTTCAGTGGGTTTGTTGCTTGCTTCCTTTTAAAGTTGCCACTGAATCAAAAATTGGCCTCAAGTAATATAGAAAGATCAGGTCTCAGTTTTTGGCCATTTTGTTCCAGAAACACCTAGCCTCTAACTCCTTAATGAAGGCCTTTGTTCAAGGAGTTGAGCACATTGTCTAGCCTTGTCAGATGCCAGTGACGCAATGGGACTTTCACTTGATCCTCTTAATCCTCAAAAAAAAAAATAATAGCCCTTTGAACCAGTTAAGAAGATGTCTTTGGTGACTGTTACCTGTAGAGTAGCTTTTTCTTGTGGCGATTACCACTGCCTGATGGGTTTCAGAGCTGGCTTCCTTGTCCTGTACGGAACCCTTTTTGGTGTTACATTAGGACAAGTGGTTTTGTGGCCCTAATGTGTCTTTTTTTTACCTAAGGTGGTGTCTGTCTTACATAAATGAGGATTGTTTTTTGTCCTCTCTGTGACCTTCTCCTAAGGACACAAGTAAAGCAGACATTTATTGTCTGGACACAGTGTGAGCTGTGAGGGTTTACATTGCGGTGACAGCCTCCAATGAGGCCCAAAAGGGTCCGGCTGCATTGCGATTCATGATTGCTGGCTGGATTCCCCAGGTCATTTTTCATACCTATTCTCTGAACGGTAAGAGGCTCATTCTACTAGATCTGTTGGCATGTCTTTGGCGTTTCAGCATCAGGCTTCTGTTGTGCAGCCTTGCAAGGCTGCAACTTTTTTTTTTTTTTTATTTAAATATTTATTACATTTTTCATGTTAATACAAATACCCAAAAAGGGAAATAATTCTCATACAAATAGACATTTATAACATTTCTACATTTTCCCTTCTAAAAACTCTTTTCTTTCCCATCCCACTACCCCCCCTTCCCACCCCTCATCCCCCCTCCTCCCCCTCTGCAGACTCTAGCCCATTCTAATCTCTCGAAGCTTATTAATTTTTTGCTAACATCCTAGTTCATATTTTCCTATATTTCTCTTTCAATCCTGCTCTTTCCCACTTTTCCCATCTCCTATAATAAACTCTCATCCTATCTTCCTGCATATGGTATGATCTTTCCATTCTACCTATCTGGTTTACTCTATTAATGCAGTCTTCCTCCTTCGGTACCTCAGATTTCTGCCAAAACTTGGGTATCAACCCTTTCGCCGCATTCAAGAAGTACCATACACCTGAGTCTTTGTATTTATTTACAGATGTCTCCACATTGTGTAGGAGGAGCACGTCGTTGGGTCCAACCCTATGTCAATTTCAGTTATTTCTTCAATTAATTTGACTATTATCTTCCAAAAAAACCTGGATTTTCGGACATTCCCCCACCATATGTGAAACACCGTGCCTATCTCTCCACATCCTCTCCAACACATATTTGAATTTTCCCCATTCATCTTGTGCTCTACACTCGGTGTAATGTGCCATCGTGTCACACACTTATAATTAATCTCAACCTCTCTCATACTAACATTCTCGTGTATCAATCTAAACATCTTTCTCTGTTGATCCTCATCAAACCCAACTCCCATATCCCTTTCCCATTTTGTTATAAAAATTAACTTTGTGTTTGTGTCTAATTCTGTGAGTATTCTATACACTTTTGAAATACCGTGCTTCCCATCCCTTCGTGTTTCTAACAACCTTTCAAACATATTCCACTCCTGTTTTAATCTCAGGGGGTTTCGGTAGATTTCCAATAAAACATTTCAATTGATGATATTTCCACTCATCTATTTCTAATAAAAATATCTCCCTTCTTCTCTATTAAATCTTTAAGTGATCTCAATTCCCCCTCCACCAAAACATCTCTCAGTTGGGTATCCTCCTTTCTAAACCATCTCCCTGATATCTTATTCTTTCCCGGGGGAAAGTACTCAGTGTTTGTGAGAGGCATTAATATAGAATTAAATTCCATTTCATGTTTTTGTGTAAATTGTCCCATACCCTTAAAACATTTAAAGTGTAGATACTTGTGCTTTCTTTAATTCCTCTAAACTGTGGTGGAACCCATATCATCTGACTCAATCTAATGCCACTAAGATCATTTTCAATTGTTGCCCAGCTTTTCCCCTTATGGTTAAATGTCCAGTCATATATTCTTGCTAAAACCACTGCTTTATAGTATCTCCTTTTTTTTTTTTTTTTTATTCAAATTTTATTGATTTTTCATATTTATAAATACATATAAAAAAGAGAGAAAGAAAGGAAGAACATAACATTTCTTCAACAATCTCATATATCATATAAAAATTCTTATCTCCTTCTCTTTCCCCCTTTTGTTTCCCTTCCCTCTACCCCTATTCCCACCCTCTTCCCGCCCCCCTCTCACTCTGCCTTTCTCTCTTAAATCCTTTTCTAAAAATTCAAAAAGAAACTTCACTTATCACATCCCACTGCTTCACATATCTTCATTTTATCTACAAAATCTTTC